GGATTTGAGTTTGTGTTTGTGTCGTTGGGATAGTAGAGGGAACTGTTTGAACTTCATCCTTTGAAGTCATTTTTGTTTCAAATGTCTAAATTACCTATTAAACACTTAAGGCTCAAACTCTTATACTTTTTTTTACTTGCAGCAGGTTGCTCCGTATTTCCTTATATGCCCTTATTCCTTTCCAAAGTACTATTGATAAATGAGGAACAAATCGGTTTTTTGTTATCGATAACTCCTTTTGTTGAATTTTTTAGTGCTGGAATCTGGACTGTTTGTCATTTATTTTCTTACAAGTTTTCAATTATTTCAATTATTTCTAATTAACTACTATAATACTAATTTACTGTTCATTTAGTTTTTGGCCGACAAATTTTGCGCGCACAAATCTATACTTTTAACTTGTATATCTTTCGCTACTTGCACTACGATTAGTTATCCATTAACTGGAAAAGTTATTGGCTTTGAAGGACTTTTGCTCTCTTTTCTCTTTTGTGCTTTATTCAATGGAGGAATTGCTCCTTTAATCGATAATTTCACAATAGGTTTCTCTTTTTTTTTTTCTTTCGTTAAAAGAAATTTATTAAAATTCTCTGCTCAAATTTTATTTCTTGTTCGCGTTTTTTAGCAACATTAAAAAAAGATGGGAAACAGGTAGAATATGGTCGACAGGTACGCATCAAGTTGAGAAGTTATTTGAGAAATTAAAATTTAAAAAAGTTTGGAAAGATATTCTTTGATTGATGGTTGCTATGAGTACTTGTTATAAATAATCAACAAGATTAATTTATAATTTATAATTATTATTATCAAAGAAGTTCCATTATTTCTCTTTTTTTAAGCGTTGCAACTCGAATAATTAATTAACTAGTTAATATATTGTATGCCTTCGGTTAGCGCCTTTGGGGAACTTTGTCTTGTGGTTTATTTGCTTCGGTTTCAGGTAGGTATTTCAAGTCAAAAATACTGCTAAAGTTTTTTTTTTTATCGAATATATTATATAATGTATTCTAATCCTTTTGTTTTGGGTATAAGGCTTCTTAACTGATTTAATTGGTCTTCATGTGATATTTATAATTTATTTATGTATGGTTTGTATCCCTGTAATATTTAATAATTAAAAAATTCTTATCTATAGCAGATATCCTAAATATTATTATTGTTTTCAAATTATTCAAAACAGATGGGAGCGTTCGCTGGGCTTATAATTAGTACATCCACGAATAATTTTAATTATTATCAAAAAATTAATCAAAACATACCTTTAAACAATGATGATGATTTAGAATTAGATTTGTTTGTCAAGGATAATATTATAGATAATGATACAAATACTGAGGCCGATCTCGGAACGGAAAATAGTACTAAGAAATCAATAACTATCCTGAATTCGACTTCAATATTGTTACAGTTACTCGAAAATCCCAAGTTTTTATTCTTTCTATTTATCACTCTTTTAATTGCAATAGTCAAGTCAGTATGTGGCATTTATCTCTTCTTATATCTTTCAGGTGTTAATTTTATTTTTCTGTTTTATTTATCTCAGGGGGGTTTTTTTTTAATTATTAATACTTATTTGTATCAGAAACTTTTCATGCTAGTGGAACTTTGATGGGACTGTGCAATTTCATGGGAATATCTTTAGAGATTATATGTTTTAATTATGCCAAAGAATTTTTGAAATTATTAGGACCTCGAAACATGATTATTGTTGGTCAACTTGCCCTCATTATTAGAGTTGGTTTATATGGATTTCTTGAAAAGAAAATGAAATCATGGATGGCCCTACCTATAGAATTGGTAAAATCTTGATTTTAATATTATATAGATTTAGATAAATATATATATATTTATTTATTTATTTATTTATAATAAGTAATTTAATTAATTTAATAGCTACAAGGGGTTATGTACGCATTAATATGGACAGCCGGGGTAGAAATTACCAGCAACTTTGCTCCAAATTCTTTACAAGCGACATACCTTGGTATTTATTATGGAATTTTTCAATTATCTTCTGGAATCGGAGCAATTATTGGTGCCGTTATCTTTTCTAGAAGTCCTACTTTAATGTTTCAGATTATGACTGCATTGGCAATATTTGCTTTGATTCTATACATAATGGGCGAGATGTTTATATTTAAATATAATAAGTATAAGTATTCAATGCTTGATAACGATCAATCTAGAATAGGACAGGAAGAATTGCGGTAATTAAGATCTAAAACATTTGAATTTTACAAATTTTGGATTATAGTTATTGTTCATTTGTGTAAGTAATCTAGCCATTTACATAAATATATTAATTATTGCATAGTTAATTAAGGTTAAAAGAATTATTTTGGATGCAATTAAATTAATACTGTCTTCTTTAAATAATTATATATTGTATTATAAAAACAAAACATTTGTATATTTTTGATACTTCTGTCAACTTTACATATTATAATTTATTTATCTTAAAGTTAATAATAATTATCTTTATAAAAAAATATTTTAATATATTTTCATTACAAAGTTTTTCATATATATACTAAAAATTTTTAATATTATAATCATTATAATTTAAAAGCTTATATTTATTATATAAATATTTATATAAGTGATTTATTTAAATACTCTTCTTTACTTAATAAAAATTAAAAATATTATAAAAATTTTTGTTAAATTTAAATTAAATACAATATAAGTAAAATAATTTTATAATAAATAAAGATAAATTTACAATATTAAATAATATTAATACTTAAAGAATTATATTATTAATATTTTAATTAATATTTATTTAATTTTTAAATTTATAAATAATACTTTAAATATAAAATAATTTTATAATAATACTTAGTTTTATAATAATATAAATATATATAAACATTTTTTAATAATTTTTTAAATAAATATTATTATTATAAGATTTAAAATAAGTAATTTAAATAATTAAAAATTATTTAAATTATTTATATTTATTTATATTAATTATTTAAATTTTTTTATTTTATATACTGTATATTATATTAAAAATATTTATTGTTTTATTTTTTTATTTTACAAATCATAGTAAGTCTTAATAGAAATTTATTAATATACTTTTTTTTTGATTTTAAAAAATTCAATATTAATTTATCTTAAAATTATTTGAAAGTATATTTAGTTTTATAATTTATTAGTAGTTTTTTTATTATTATTTTTTAAAAATTTACATACTAATATTAAGTAAAACTTTAATACTTTTAATTTAGATTTTATTTATTATATATATTTATAATATTCATATGAATATTGTTAAATTAGTTATTCAAATAATATTATTCTAAAATATTTATAAATATAATATTTTTTATATAATCTATTTTTTTTA